TCTGCACACCAACCCTAAACCCTAAGCCCTAAAAAGTTTCTGTATAAGCACTGCGGCGCATGGACCCTAAACCTCACAGTTTAAGCTCCTATGTATGTACAATGCCAGTGTGAACATCATAGAGAAGCCTTGTCCGACCCTGAACCCTTGAGCCCTACTGTAGTGGTATATTTTCCTATACTATTTTGGGGGTTCCTTGTTGTAGTTATACTTATAGTATAACGGCCCCAAAACCCTATTCTGATTGTTCAGGCCCTAGATTACAGCCTTTTATAAACTACAAAGCCCGCTGAACCTTAGCGCTGCCAGATTCCGGAAGCTCGAGACCCGTGTGACCAGAAGTCTTGGAAGCCCACCACCCGAAATCCTAAACTTAAACAGCCGCAACTCTAATCAAAAAAGCCTGCAAGCGACGTTTAAGAAACAGAAAAAGCCGAACACCGTAACTCGCAAGTCCTACACCCGGCACCCTAAACCCAACTGAACCTCTAGCGGCCCTAAGTACAGCCTGAAGTCCGCTACCCTGACCACCGGAATCTCCCCGTGCCAGGTGAGGTGGTTGAAGTTCTCGAATTTCAAAAGAAGGAGCATTTTTGGATTCCTCGGTGTTGCCCTACACCCTGAAGGCCCTGAACCTTAATCGTGTTCTTATGTGCTCTTCTTCGAAGATCACAGAAACGGAAAGATGTGATCATGCCAAACACCCTGCACCATTTAGCATGATCCCAAGGCTACTATGTCGGGTTGAGGGCTCAGGGATAGGAGGCTTGGGATACAGCGAGCACTGGCTGCATGACTGCGGTAGATAGGAACCCTCAGAGCCACCCTGAAATCGCAACGCAACCCTCCAAGGAACCCTTCAGGATCCTTGCGGGTGGTTGTCAAAATTAAAGTCCCTTTTGGGGTCCTTAGTATAATACGGCACTTGTTATTTAGGGTACCCAAAAAGGGACCCTAATTTTGACAACCACCCTTATGGTTCATGATACGTTTTAAGTTGGGGGCGTCAAGGGAGTTTGGGATGCAACTGCAGGTTCATGATCCCTGGCATGCTGGGACTTCGTCTAGGATGCCCAGTAGTACTCTTATATATTCCCTTTTTGTAGTTCTAGGTTCCTTATAAAGTTACCCAATACCAAAAAGAGAGGCCTTTTTATTCTTAGGTTACTGGGTATCCTAGTCGTGCTGCAAAGGGGCGTCACCTAGAACATGACAGCACCCAAAACCCTACAGTAGAAGCCCAAAAGTTGGAAACCCAATAGCCTCAATCCTCAAGCGTTATGTATAGGGAATCCCAGCACTGTTTGGCTTTAATCCTGCTCCCATCTTTATGGGGTTTACTGTAGTCTCACTATTCCGGCTATAAGTAGGCTTATAATTGGGGTAACTCAATTAGGGTGCTTAGAACTCTACTTAAGACCTACTTACTAAGTCCCCTGCCCCTTCAAGTAGTCTCACTACTCCGGCCTCCATGTTGCGCGTTGGGGGTCGCTTCAGATGCCTGATGTTTTTTTTCCCAAAGGGTCCGAAGTACCTATATGGGTGATTGTCAATATTTGGGTCCCTATTTGGGTCCTTATTATAATATTTAGGGTACCCAACAAGGAACCCTAATTTTGACAACCACCTATATAGTAGAATGTAGGGTTTCTATATTAGGAGTTACTATTATGATTTAGGGAAGTATCCCCCATAACAGTACCTGGGACCCTTTGGGTTTGGCTTCTTGGACTTGGCCGAACCGTGGGTTCATCGCCACCATGCGCGAGTTGCTCCAAAGCCCTTATCCTCACCAAAGTCTCTTTTTGGATCTCCTTTGAGTGTATTCAAGAGTTGTGCCTCCTCTGCAAAGACCTTTCTCTAAGAATCCAAAAAGCCCCAAATAGCTACTATCGAAGGGGAAAGGAGGGACCCTTAATGGGGACCCCTACCCTATAATGGGCTACATAATGCTTATATCATAGCTATATTAAGGGTATATACCTAGCGGTCCTTATCAAGGGTCCCTCCTTTTACCCTTGGATACTAGTTGTAGACTCTAGACAGCGAACTTCACAAATTGGGAGTCTTGGGGTTCAGAACAACCCGAAGCTCGTCGGTGCTCTCCAGGACGCGACAGCGGATGTGAGGCGGATCAAAGGCAGGGGCTTTACGGCACAAACCTTGGTTGAATGTCGATTAATAAACGTCGGAACTTTTGTTTTTTGAACCTGAACTTTGGAGGAGTTTTCGAGTAATCAGCGTTCAGACTTTTGGGGTTGAGGTTTCCCGAGGGTTTAACTTTATGTTGGATTGCTGGATTTCGGGGAATTGGGCTGCAGGTTTGAGGAGTCAGGGGTTGGATCGGGCACAAGACTTGAATCCTAGGTAGGCCTGTTCGACACTTCAAGCTTGCCTGCATTGCATCTGGACTGATGCACGAACATGTTCCAGTCTCTTTCGAGCCGCCTTAGAGACAGGGAGACAGTTTGACTTCGTTCTGTACTTTTTTTGTTCGCACTTCCGAGAATCCCAACTACCAAAGCTTGCGACGAAGGGCGGTTTAGGGCTTACTGCGTTGAGGGGTTTAGGGTTGAAGGGGGTTCTTGCAAGTAGAGGGAGGGACCCTTGAGCCCCTTCCAAAGCTTAGGCTCCATTCGCATCTACTATACGAGCCTGAAAAATTAGCAAAGCCCCTATATGATTATAGTATAGCCTTGCTATGTATATACGTGTATATATGCATACCCCAAACCCTATTCAAGTTATTCAAGCCAGCAGAATCTTCTGCCCATGGTGCAGGCAAAGCGAAGCAGGACGGAGCTATTGGATGGCCATGCGCCCAGCTGTGGATAGGCTTCGGATTGTTGCAGGCGTCTTCCGAGCTTACGCTTCAGGATTCAGGGGTCAGGGTATAGGTTTGGGGCTTTAGTCTAGTCAGCAGTTAGTTAGGGAACCAAAAAGCACATAAGCATAAGCATTTGATGGGGATATCCCTACCTTATTGGGCTTCATTATAAGGGGATTTATATGGGATATCCCTATCCTAATTTTTGCTTATGTGCTTTTCTGGGGCGCTAGTTAGTCAGGTTATGGGCTACAGGTTCTGGGTTTTCGGGGTATGGGTCGAGCAGTTTAGGGTAAAAGGCTTTAGAGGTTCATATGTTTTGCCGAGGGTTTGCAGTCAAGCGTCTGCGATGTTGAGGGCCGAGGGATCAAGGGTAGGGATTGGGATATCGTGTCTAGGTCGGGGGTTTCAGCCTCACAGACTTGAGCTGTGAGCCCCATGAAACTCTAAAGCGGATGTGACGGACCCAACCGTTTCCCTAATCCAACATAGAGCTCCAAACAGGGCCCTTTGCCACACACAGCCCAATGCACCCATTAGCCATGTGGGATCCCAAATCAACCAAACCTTCTTTCCCTTCTTTGAGCGCTTGAAAAAACATGCTGGTACCAACAATTCCAGGAAGCCTTTTTTTTCATCTGCATTGCAGAAGCTTCCTGAGATCAGAAAACGGATCCTCCGCCCTAGTTGAGGGGTCTTGGGGTCTCTCTCTGGGTAACCGGTTACGGCGGCTATCGTCCTTCAAAGAGAGGTTGTTTGGGTTTCCGAGTTAGTCTCAGCGAGGGTAAATTCGGGGGAATGAAGTGCTTCGGTCTAAAGCGGAAATCTGCAACTCCGAAGCATCATCTGTGAACCCTGGAACTAGAACCCAAGTCGCACAGAGTCGAATAACATAGGGGGGTGATGAGTAATTCTAGGTTCTAGCTGTTCCAGTGACAAGGGATGCCAAGATTCAGATGAGCAGCATCTGAGACTAGGACCTAGAGTAGGCTCTTATTCCCTTTTTTAGGGTTCAGGTTCCCTTACAACTTATAACTCCTTTTAAACCAAAAATGGCACCCTTTTCATTCCTAGGTTACTCTTAGGTATCCTTTTGGGTTTGGGGTTTAGGGTTTGTAAACCTCAGCCTTAGCAACCCATTTTGGGAACAAGGATCACGATTGCCAGCAACGCGGGGACGACCTTCCTCGAGCCTTGCTGAGCGCAGGGATATAATCAAAATAGGGGCCTCAACAATTAGAGCAGGGTGTTGGGGGATCGGCATGGGCTACTGTAATATTAGAAGCATGTAAATGTAGAGGCCATGAGGGATGCAATCACTATCGATTGGCATCATGACTTTTAGGGTTCTGAAACTTACTCTGAGGATCCGGTTTCGTCGCATGGGCAGCCTAGAAAGCCGAGATGGGAAGCCCTGGCTGTGTCAAAAGCAAGACGAAAATACATTGCTAGGAGCAATCACAGTAAGGATGTGTCGTGCTCTAAGCCCTGAACCCTGAGAGCCTGTAAGCCTGAAGCCTCATCGCCTCAAATAACGGCAAGGAAGCAAGGAAGGAAAGAAAGAAGCAAGAAGGGAAGGACGGAAAGAGGAGGAGTACCAGTCGTCGTCGTAGTTGTAGTAGTAGTAGGAGTAGTAGTAGTAGTGGTGCCAGAGGTGTAGCTCAGGAAACGGGAACCGCGACCCTGCAGTTCCTTATTTGGCTTCCAGCGCCGCTTCTACGGAGTGTGAAGCCAAAAAGAGATGCGCGAGTGTCACCACTACGACACAGGGGGCGAGATTGTTCTTAAGGTCCGTTTAATGGATGGCTTATCTAGGAGGGTCACCTGAATGATCACAGACCCATATGGTATGGAACAATTCTGCCCAAACCTGTGCGGACCTGATGCAGCCGCATCAGCCACATCGCAAATCGATCCAAGCCAATCTACAACAGACCTCAAGATCAAACATCTCCTGAGATGGTGAGCCAGGAAAGCACGCTTAAAGACGCAAGTCCTGTAAACCTTTCTCAAGACAACCCTCAAGGCCTCAAGTCCCTCAACCTCTTGCAATCCTAGTATTGCAGGACCCTTAAGGTTCAAAGTGGGAGGCCACTAGGAATCTTTGGATTCTACACCCGTGGACTATCCTCACTTAAGGATCCCTTCAAGTTCACGCGCGGCTCTCGGGGAGGTTTGGCTCTGACCGTCCGGCTAACAGGAACGCTCCTGGGCCCCGCGGCTGCAACGAGGGGCTCCTTCATGCGGGGTTTGAAGTTTGGGGATTCGGGATTAGGATGTAGAGTTCGGTCGAAGGGTTGGGTAGCGTTGACAGCAAAGGCTAAAACAACTGCGGCATCCAGCAGAAATGGTTCTTGACCCCTGATGTTCCACTTGTCTTTCGATGCCTTCTTTCAGACTTAATCTAGGGCCTCTAGGGTTTGGGGGTTCCTGATTATGATTATATGTATCAGCGTAATGAATATACCCCACGACCCTAGTCTAGAAACTAAGGCCCCCGCATTACTCAGTGGATACCGGAGCCTGAGCAGTAGAATTTGCTGCGCCATAAGGAGGAAGGGTGACGCACTCTGAGAGACTGCCTGTGGGCTTGCAGGAAGCAACAGTCGTATGATAGGGAGAGAGAGGGATCCAAAGAATGTTGCCGCGTATCATCCCTTATCCTTCTCTACATAGTGCCAAGGGCAGTGAAACTTCGCCTGTGATTTTGGGACAGCTTCAACGGCCTGAACCCTAATTTATGGGGGAATGGGGGAATGAGTTAAGGATTATGAAAAGTCTTGTGGGTTCTAGGCACTCGTATCAGCGACCCGAAGGGACCATCATAATGCAGGGATCCAGGGAAAACTTCCATCCGCAGCTCCCCGAGCTTCAATCCCACACCCCAACTCTGAGCCACACAGCCTGTGAGCCGAGTAGGTGCATCTGCACATTTGTTTGCACATCCGTCTGTGCATATATATATATATATATGTGTATATATATATATGTATATATATATATATAGAGGTTTTTAAATCTATGATGATATACTGTATAGATACCCTGACAGCCCTAGCATATTGCGGGCCATTGGGCGTGGGGCGAAGGAGTGTAGCAACTAGCAAAGCTTCCCAACCCCGAAAGAGGAGTGATGGTGCTGCGATACTCAAGCTTCAAGCTCTTGTTCTCATGACCGGTAATCTTCCCGTTCAAAATGTGCATGACCTCTTCTTCCCACATCGTTCTTGGTGCTGGCAAGAACCCCTACACCCTACACCCTAAACCCTAAGCGGCCCTAAGCCCTAAGCCCCAGTTGACACGAAGCTTTCTCCCACTAAACCCTAAGCCCTGAACTTTCCCTAAAACCCTAAACCCTAAACCCTAAACCCTAACCCAAAAGCAATCTCCTGCTAAACCCCAAGCATTCGAAGCTCCGACGCTCCAGTGAAGCAAATAGGCCTTATTCGGCCCTTATCAGGTTCTTACTTAGATAGCCAATGGGGGAACTTTAAATGTTTTGGCCTTATATATATATATATATATATATATATATATATATATATATATATATATATATTTGGTCTATCTTAGAAAGTTTAAACTTTTTTGGGCCCGGTTTTTGAAGGAGAGAGCTTATCAGCCCTGAAAAGAGCCCTTAGAGATCTCTTTAAGGAACCATGGGTCCCGAAAACCCCCCCCTCGCCCTTACAAAGCTCACCCCCCAAAGGGTCCAAGTATTATTATGCTATATACTTAGACCCCCAAATAACCCTATACTTCCCTAAACCCTAAACCCCAAAACAAAACCCTAAACCCTAAACCCTAACCCTAAACCCTAAACCCTAACCCGAAACCCGAAGCCCTAAACCCTAGCCCTAAACCCTAAACCCTAACCCCTATAACCCGAAACCGCTAAAAAACCCTAAACCCTACTACTTGGACCCCTTGGGGCCGGTGAAGCGACCGACGGCGCAAGGAACCACCTCTCCGGCCCCTCATGGTTTTGAGGTCTGGGCCGGGCTTTCCGGGCTTTGGGGTATACTGCCCTGGTTGAGGGATGTAGGGGCTTTAGGTTTTAGGGTTTTCGGGTGTTTGGGTTTTGGGTTTTTGGGGGCTTAGGGTTTTGGGGGTTTAGGGTTTTGGTTGGGCCTGGGGTACAGCCGTCCGGGTAGAATGGTGGTGCATAGCGTTTTAGGTTGTGTGTGGGCCTCAGCCTTTTCCTGCGTGCAGCATTGGCCACCAGGCTAAGCCAACAAATGCATGACTACAGAAGTATGTAGACATATGCAGTGTGTGTATGTACACAGGAAGTTTTTTAGAGACAATGCCCCGAAGCCTCATGGATTGCCTGAAGCTTGAGAATGTAAACCTCGATTGCAGGGGGTTAGGGTTTAAGGCTCCATTAATATTAAGGGCTCCCTTACGGGCTCCGTCACAACCTACGCCTGGTTGTGCTGACTTGTTTGTTCTGAGTCGCTGTTTCTTTCGGACCTGTGGCTAAAGATGATGCCGCGATACTTCCCTCTGCTCTTCGTGGGTATACTAGGCTGACATGTTCCAGCACAGTATGGATAAAATCCGTCTGAAAGGTGAGAGCTGGTACAGTCCACACAAGGGGGCGGCTCTGTGAGACTTCGTCGCTCTCGTCTTGATCGTAATTTGGGCTTCCATTGCACTGATGTTTTTCATGGATGCGTTGTCGAATCTGTTTAGGAATCTAGCAGCTTTTTCTGGAGTACTTCGGCCGTGTTGAAAGCCTTTGTGGAATTCCCAAATCGGACGCTTTAGAACCCTTGCGGAGAGCCCTTCAGACACCACCGAGACGCAGGGGACGGGTGAGTGCTCTCAGCTGGATGAAAACCTCGTCGGATCGTGCGGGCCCTGGCACTCTGATACCTTCGTAGCAAGGTTCAGGGCTTGGGGGTTTGGGGTTTTGGGGTTTAGAGTTTAGGGGTTTAGGGTTTAAGGTTTAGGGTGTAGGGTTTGGGATTTAGGGGTTTAGGGTTTAAAGTTTAAGGTTGAGGGTTGATTTAGGTGCGTAGCTGAGTTTGTACACCTTGAAATTGGGTTTGTTTCTGGGACAATGAAGCCCTCTCAAAATGAAACTTGGGTTTGTGAACTCGGCAACAAAGATACTGCGAGAGCACCAAAGCCCCCTGCGTTGCGGAATCTGGCTAACTTAAGCTATACATGTAAGGACAGACAGCTTTAGCTACGGAGAGAAACCGTAGACTGTTCAAGCAGCATAATCAACTTGAAATGTGGATAGAAGCCTCAATAAATTACCAACAGAATTCCTTCGGGCTCTTTATTATAATGATACTATACAGGCGCCAAAAAAACCTATACTAATTATGAAGACCTCAACACTAATTATACCACCCTTGTAAGTATCCCTCACCTTATCGAACCCTTCAAAAAGGGACCCCATTCTGAATATTAAGGCCCGCAACCCTTAACACCCTGAACCCCTAAATCCCTAAACTCCACTTGGAGGCCCTTTTGACTTAGTAAGTAGGGTTAGTAAGGTAAGTTATGGGGATTATAATAGGGTTTCCAGGGGATACTAAGTAGACTTACTAAGTCAAAAGGGCCTCCAAGCATACACCCTAAACCCTTGAAGCCCCCAACCCCTAAACCCCGGAAGCCCCCAAGCCCTAAACCCTGGAAGCCCCCAACCCCTAAACCCAGGAAGCCCCCAACCCCCTAAACCCAGGAAGCCCCCAACCCCTAAACCCTGGAAGCCCCCAACCTAAACCCTGGAAGCCCCCTTCATCCCAAGAGTCGCCCTTGTCCAAAGGTTCTCCGTGGGCTGCACCGCCTCAGCAGGGGCCTCCACCATGGGGCCATCGATTGGCATTCCCGTCAGGGTTTAGGGCTTCAGGGATTGAGGGTTCAATTAAGGATTTAGGGTTTAGTTAAGGGTTTAGGACTTCAGGGGTTAAGGGGTTCAGGGCTTCGGGGTGTTTCGGGTTTACTAGATCAGAATGGTTTCGTGTCGGGTCGAAAAGGATCCCTCGGCCCCAAATGTGATTCTTCGGGGCCGGGGGGTTCTCAGTTGAGTGGGGGGTTGGGGCTCTAATGCAAGTGAACTCCAAATCGCTGACGAGAAAATCGTACTACTGCTGATAAACGATGCATTGTGTCAACCATGTTATGGAGGCCTTCGTCCATCCATCACATCACCAAGGTTTTGACCCAAACCGTTGACACATGGGAGTTTCAGACAAGCAGGGACCCGAATGTGCATACTGTGTCTATATATATATACACATAATTTTTCTATCTGGATACATGCGTACAGCTACATACACATATACATATACATGTTACATGTACATGAGCATGTAAATGTACGTACATACATACATACATGCACACACACACATATATATATATATATATATATATGTGTGGGTATGTATGTATGTATGTATGTATGTATGTAAATCTGTACATATGTATACACATGTATATATGTACCTATACACAAGCATCTACATGTATTTGAGTACATGTGTATGTGTATGTATGCGTATATTTACATGTACTTGTATATGTACTCGTACATGTCTATGTCTATGTATACGTATATGTATGCGTGTAAGTGTAAAGATACGTATATACATAGAGATACGTACACAAAGATGGATGTATATCCTTCGCATTCCCTCTCCCTCTCTCTCTCTCTCTCTCTCTTTCTCTGTGTTTAGCTCTCTCTCTCTCGCTCTCTCTCTCTCTCTCTCTCTCTCTCTCTCTCTCTCTCTCTCTCTCTCTCTCTCTCTCTCTCTCTCTCTCTCTCTCTCTCTCTCTCTCTCTCTCTCTCTCTCTCTCTCTCTCTCTCTCTCTCTCTCTCCCCCCCCTCCCGCAAACAGTCGGATGAAGCCTAACTCGCTTTTTGTGAAGCCTTGCCCGAGGAGTTCAATCTGGATCTCGGCCAGTGCGCCCGCCGGCAGCATGCTATGACCAAGAAAGCACCGAAGCGTCCCAAATGGCTTAAACGTATAGGATTCATGGTGAAAGGGTTGAGGATTTGTGTTTCAGGTTTAGGATTTGAGGTTAAGGGTTTACGGGTGCAGGGTTGGGTTTCAGAAGCGTCCCTTAAATCATGCAAATGCAGAGCGACATCAATTCCTGGAGTGAACCTGGGACCTCACGCCCACGCCGCAAGTAGAGGAACTTCGATGATTTCTTTACGTTAGCGTCATAGACAGAGTAGCGATGTTTGCTGTTAGACCTTTTTGCCAGCTTCTTCCGACGGTGAAACGGGTCAGGCAAGTAGCACCGTGCAGGTTCCGCGATTTCATCACCTTCGTAGTCATGAGCTCTTTGGTTCTTCGCCTCATTTTGGCTTCCAGCTCCCCACTCCGAGGTGCTGAATACCTGTGAACCTCCGAGTACAGCTATCGCTTCGCTGGGCGACACGACGCAGGCTGTGGTGGGCACACGACGGATACCTTAATGACAGGGCTTTCAGTTGAACTGAGTATGGTCGTCTCGGTAGACTACGACCATTTGTGCAAGAAGTCGACATGTCACAATTTGGGTCTCTCTGTTCATCGTCCTTGGGGTCGCCCCAAGACACACGACAGACCTGAACCTTTGTAGAGCAGGGCTGAAGCAGCTCTCGCGCAGATCCTGCAGCGCGTAGCCTGCTCCGATGCAAGTTGCAAGTGGTAAGTGGTGCAGACATGGCAGAGGTCGCCTCTGACAGCAGTGATACCGGAACTCATATTGCTCCCTGTGACTTCATCGTTTCACCAAGAAATGTCCAATCAGGGCGATTCGCCCCCCCAAACTCCAAACCCCAAGTTTCAGATTGAAGCGCAGGGATCTTGCCTCATCTTACGTGTTTCTGAGCACCCCCCCCCACAAAAAAAACAGCCTTTTTTTAACCCACCACCAAGTAAATGTGCTCCAGCAAAGGGATCCTCAGAAAGGTGTTGCTGCACCGGCTAAATGTGATGCCAGGAGTCAAGGCTTAAGGGCTTATGCTTCAGTCTAGTGTTCGGGAGATTTAGGGTTTAGGGTGGTAGGTGTCAGCTATCTGGGAGACCCCGTTTCAAATCCGCGGTTAAAGCTTGTCTTACTCGCCGGCTCGCTGCACCGCCCTGCATAGCCTTGCGAGCTTCGCTTGTCATCCCTGTGCTTCCCACTAGTCTGGCTCGCTGGTTCTTGACGAGACGCATGAGCACACCTGTCCAAACGTCTCCGTTGTCGCCGGTCGGGCACTCAGCGGGGGGATTCCAGCGAAACCCCAAGCCTTTGTGAAACCCAAACCCAGAGTGGCCTGAGGCTACGAGTGCGAAGTTTCTTGCATCCGTGGGTATGGCGGCGACAACACCAGTCTTCGATGTTGGGCAGGACCTTTACTAAGTTACTCTGGGGTGGGCTGCGGGGGTTTCCCAAGTAGTTCCCTAGTTCCCTGGTTGGCTTTTTGATGTGTGATCTGCAGTAAGTTTGAGGGTCTTGGGTCTCATGTTGAGTCTGGGGTCTGAGGGGTTTTAGGGTTTAGGGATGTTTAGGGTTTCTGGGTGTATGGTTCTTAAGGTTGTAGGGTCTAGGAGGTTACCGCGCCTAGGCTTCAGAGAGATCAGCGCCAGAGACGACAGGTTGTTGATAGAGATCAAAGACAAATAGTTAAGGGTTCAGGGTTTGGGATGCATAAACTGGAGCTTTCTCAGAAGAGCCCGGGAAAAGTCCACCTGAATAACACCATCCTACCTTTAACAGTCTCACTAATCCCAAGAGTTTGGGTGTTGAGATGGTGAAATGCCGGGGAAATCTCCAAACTCTTACGTGATGCCCCGAGACGAAGTTCTACACTCTAAGCCTCAAGCCCTGCACTACTACAGACTTCATCCGAAACCCTCCATTCTCAACTCCCGAGACTCAGCACCCCCCAAACCACCAAGATCATCCTCAGGAAAGGGCTTTAGGCTTGCCCCCGAAAAATCTCCATAGTGCCAAGACAATCCCGAAAGCTGGCGCAAGTCGCATGTGGAGTTAGGGTTTAGAGACTAGGGTCTAGGAACCCTGCATGTTCAAGTCATCAGGAATTCATGAAGTTTCCTGCCCTGGCCCGGGTTGCACGAACATCCCAAGAAGTATGCAATACACCTTACGCTGGATGAAGAATCTTCTTGGCATTAAAGAAGTATTCCTTTTCTGATGCGTAATGTAGGGTCCTGGAGTGTGAATTTGAGCAATCCTATATCATCATTTTGATATCTGAGACTGAGTTCCAAGCATCCAGGCCCTAAGCTCTAAGACTTAGCCGTGTAGGGATCGTGGCTGCGAGGAGTGCTGCAGCCCGTCAGCGGAGCTCTAAACCTCTGCGAGAAGCTACCTCTCTTTGCCGGTATCTTAGGATTTGGGATTTGAGCTTTCAGCTTTGCTCTTGGCTACTACTGCTGATGGACGAAATCCTGCATTACCCATTATAAGGAATGTACACTAGTTCCCATAGTTTAGAGTCCTTAGGGTCATGCAGGATTTTGTCCATCAACCGTAGGGTTTAAGCTTTGGAGGTTTAAGGGTTCAGGGTTTAAGTTTAGTTTTGTGTTCAGGGTTCAATTTCCTGGGCCACATAGGGTACCGAAACCAAAGACGTCGTGGTCAAGCTGCTACAGGGGCACCTGCATTTTGGGGCTCGTTGCAATGATTACCATATACACTTCCGAAAAGAGACAGCTGTTTTGGCATCTTGGTGTGAGGTGCTGCGCAATTTCAACTACGAGCCATGTCTCTTACACCTATACACCGAATCGCCAACAACTTCAAAAGGGCCCAAAGCTGGCATCTACTATACTAATGATTACTATTGGCTATAATTTATAGTGGAATGTGACAATATACCACAAGATAAGATACTACCATTTGCGAACATATAGTACCATAGAGGGGCAACATCTCAGAATTTTGTAATCCTACACCCCAACCCTAACCCAAATTCCTGCAACCCATAGCCCTCAAGCCCATCCCAAGCCCCGGAACCTTCAACCCCTAACTCCAAAACCCTCAGCCTGGCGTCGGGGTCGACCGCCACCGACGCAGGGCCCGTCTCCTCCTTAAGGGCCCGGACCAACGGGATCCCGTAAGTGAGGAACGTCCCGTCCAGGAGGCGAATTCTATCGCCCTCCTGGAGCAACGGCAAGACTGCCTCGCCATTCTTCTTTTCGAAGCGGGCCCTGGCCACGGCCGTCATCTCAAAGAAGTGGCCGTCGCGACTCAGCTTGAACGGCGTTCCTTGGAAGTCCTGGCGCGCCTGGTCAGTGGCCGCGTGCTCCGGAAAGATGGCCGCGGGCAGCCGCCGGCCGTGCTCCGCCGCACCTAAAGTAAAGATTAGCACATGTAGATCCCCAGTATCGTCCTCCTTTGAAGAGTCCTAAGCCTAAGCCCTTGTAACGCCTCAGCACACAATCCTGTTTAAACCCAAAGCCCCAACGCCAAAAAACCCTAAACTTACCCCTGAAGCCCAACCCCCCATCATCCGAAACCCCAAAGACCCAAAAAACGGGCTTCGGGGTTTAGGGTTTCAACCCGAAGCCGGGGGCCCAGGTCAAAGTAACAGGCACTCTGGACCTGCAGGTGAGTGACCCGCAGGCACCCGCTCGGGGTTTAGAGTGAAAGGGAATGAGGGATTGAGAACTTGAGGGTTTTGGGGCTTGGGATTTCCGATTCAGGGTTATAGGTTTGGGGGTTGAGATTTTGAGGATATCTGTGGGTTTAGGATTTTAGGGTTTGGGGTGTTGGGGTGATGCTGCATAGGCATCTCCGCTTCAGTGTTTGCGGATGCGTTTGAGATTTCGGGGTTGGGGCAAGGTGTAGGGGTCTATGGAGGGGTAGTTATGTAAGGGAGTGAGGTGTTGGGGCAGCTTCAGTTGAGCACCATCCTATGAGACCCGCATTTTTTGCGGATACATAGACGCCCAAGAATCACTTGCACAGCACCGCCGAGAACCTCACCAAGCCTACTGACACCTCCGGTAAGCCATAGATCAGAGACCCAAAGAGCACATAAGCATAAGCATGTTGTGGGGATATCCCTACCTTACTGGGCTTCATTATAAGGGGGTTTATATGGGATATCCCTATCCTAATGTTTGCTTATGTTCCTTTTTTGGGGGCCCTAATAGAGCGCTGAAAACGTGAACCCTCGTTTTAAACCCTAAGCCCTAAACCCTAAACCATGGAACCAATGAAACCCTATAAACCATGGAACCCTAAACCCGACTCCTCGAGGCTTTTGTCCGAGATGAAGATGCGGTTCAAGGGACAAAGACGGCTCTGGCCCGTACCTTCGGCGCGCGAGCCTCAGATTCGACAAAATCGAAACTTACCGGCTTCATGTCGGATTGTGTATATTGCATAGTTTAGATGCTTTCACTTATTGTAACAAAAACTGCAACAGCTTACTTGTTGTAGAGTATGATGTGTAGTTATATGAAAACAAAATTTAGATAGACACAAAAATGAAAGATTAGTATACATATAACTATGTATGTATGTCTGTGTGTGTATATATATATACATTTATTTATATATGCAACCAAATAAGAATTGGTCATAGCCGCTGGGGCGCCACAGCCTGGGCGTCAATTGAACCTGAATGGCTCTAAATCCTGCTCGCTGGGCCCTGAGGTTGCAATTTTAACGCCCCGCCGCCTCGGCTCGACAGCGACGAGGGACAAAAAACGGTGCAGGAGAAGGGCGGAAGAGAGGTGATGGTGGGGGGGGGGGGGGGGGGGGGGGGAGGCCGAAATTTTCGGACTGCAGGGAGGGGATTAGCTGGCGCCTGGGCCTGTTCCTACATGTTTGGGTGTGTATATCTCGTTTCTGAGTAGACCACGGAACTCCGCAACAGGTTCGAAGTTCGAATCCTTCCTTGAGCACGGTTGTGCAGCCCAGGTGAATGAATCCTTGATCAACGTGACGTTGAAAGCCGCACTGCAGCAAAGACTTTCGGGGGTGCGGTATACTTCAAGCATCAGCCCCCTTTGGCAAGTAGGTCCAGGTTACACCCATCATAACTCTCTGCTTGCAATCTCTTGGAGGTTCATGGGTAATTAGTTATAAGTAGGGTTATGGGTAGGAGAACTATGGTTATAACCCATATTCAGGGACTTATAACCCCACTTATAACTAGCCATGGAACCTCCCAAGCCGTTTCCCTAAATCCTACTTGGAGGTTCAGGGGTAGTTATAAGTGGGGTTAGAAGTCCCCTCACAAGGGTTATACGTATAGTTACCCTACTTATAACCCTACTTATAACTACCCATGAACCGCCAAGCTACACCTGGCCGAGAGCCGCTCGGTTTCCCGCTGCCTCTTGAATCTCCTCCTGCATCCTTACAGTAAACCCCATAAAGTTGGCCCCATAATGGGCTGTATAATAGCTATATTAAGGGTATATACCTAGGGGTCCTTATTAAGGGTCCCTCCTTTTACCCTTGGATCTAAGGCCCCCCATAAAGTTGGAAGCCGGATTAAGGGCAAATAGTGCTAGAATTCCCTATACATTACTCTTAAGGATTGAGGCTATTGGGTTTCCAACTTTTGGGCTTCTACTGTAAGTAGAAGAGACCTTTGGGAAATAGTGTGCTACTATTTCCAGGGGGTTACATTATGAGCACTATGAGGGAACAGTAGATCCTTAAGTAGAATCGACATTTAGGAAGTATTGTGCTAGAGTTCTATGAGGACTAGGGGAGTGTTACTGGCAACTCTTCAGGAGATTTGTGTAATAGAGGGGTCGGAACTACTATTTCCTTATAGTACTCATAACGTAACCCCCTCAACAGCCAGTTTCCGAAGTAGCGGACCTTGGTGAAACCCTAACCCGAGGCATCCAGAGGACCCAGCGGTCAAGCACATGGGTCTAGGATAGTAGTTTGCTGGTTGTTTTGGTAAAGCTGGCGTGGCTGGAAAATCATTGCCGAATCAGGTTCGAGCCGCTGCCGACAGTGGAGTGTCCGTCCATGTGAAACCCAATACCCGAAGAACATATGGCAAGGCTCCTGGAATGCTCGAGCACGAACTGGTTTTACATTGGGCCTAAACTGTAAACCCTAAACCCAAAGCGATGCCTGCTGAAAAGGCAGCTGCAACTGCAGCTAGCTGGCTCGACAACCAGCTTTGGGTGGAGTATATGTTTACTGGTTGCTTCGGCTGATGGTAAAAATCCTGCATTACCCATTCTAAGGAACATACCATAATTCTCATAGTTTTGGGTCATTAAGGAAATGCAGGATTTATATCATCAACCGTTGGACCCTTCGGGTAAGGCTAAACTCCAAAATCCCAAAGCCAACATGGAGGAGCAGTTCCCTGATGCCCTTTTGATTTGGGGGTCTCTTGATTCAAAATGAAAAAGCTGGAACAACGAGAACTCTTACTTTTCGAGTGTTTCAAGGCCGTTTCCGGGGCCCTGCCTCTGGACTAGCGACGGCATACTGGGGTGTACCTATAGTCTCCATGGTAGTTCCTTTTTGGGTTACCTTATAGGATCCTTAATATATAGTTGGTTAAACCAAGAAAGGGAACTACAATGGAGACTATAGGTAAGGTGTGGGATTCAGGGTAGAGTTTGGGCACTGGAGGGACTCTGAAATCGGCCGACCCTAGACCTTAATCACTAAACCCCAAACCTTTTAAAACCGTAAAAAATCCAAACCTTAGCTCTAACCCTTAAACCTTATATAATATGGTTAATATGATGGATTTAGGTGGTTCCTGAGTATAGTTATAGTAAAATGGGCCCCCATAGCCCTATTCTAACTATTAAGGCCGCTATATTATGTAATCTGAATCGGCCGAGTAGGACCCAAAAACGAAGGTTGTTGCCATCAATGCAACCAGCAATGCCACGGAGGGAGAGAACTCGATCCTCAGCCGGTCCTCGTTGGTTTCAGGTTGAGGGCTTGGGGTTTCAGGGGGCTTAGGGGGTTTAGGGTTTAGGGGATTAGGGTTTTGAGCTACAGGTTGTGTTTACTTCAACCCCAAATAGCCCAGCCTACCTTTCTAGGGTTCCTTGTTATGAGTTCGTCCTGTAGGCCCCTGAAACAGGCAGGCTTTTCAGGGGTCTTCGGCGCAGGGGTTCAGGGGCTCGGGATGACGGGAGTAGGAGTAGGAACTAGGATTTGGGTTTTGTGGGGGTGTAGGGGCAGGGTAGGGTGTAGGAATGAGTTAGAGCCGTGGGCTACTTTTTTGAGAGGTTGAAGGGTTCAGGGTTTCAGGCGTGTTGACTCTCGACGGCTTTTAGGCTGCAAAGCTACAGGGCGTTAGGCTTTCAGGTGTTACAGCATCAGCGCGCTCGGCAGGGCTGTTCTGGGTGCGGTGGTGTTGTTACAAGTAGGAGGTTCCTTTTGGTATATTCTGGAGAAGCGCATAGGGACTGTCAGGAAGCAGTATTGCAAACTGTGCGGACCCCAATATATAATGATTTCGTATTGTGAGTGTTCCAACGTTGCAAGTTTTCAGAGTTTTTCAGTTCCGGGTTTGAGGGGACCCAAGGCGGGATGTTCTTAATATAGGGCCCTCAGTAATTACCTATGACATTTTGGGGATTCCTTTTTACCATTATTATAGTATAGTGGGCCCTCAAGCCCTATTCTAACTATGAAGGCCCCATATCATCGGTTTTTGAAACCAATACAACCCTTTTCAAGGAGCCCTAGTCTAATTGTTGAGGCCTTGGTCCTGAAACCCCTATAAAACTACAGAGCACTTCCAGAACCCATTACCCAATCATTTCCCATTAGGGGAGTCCTTTTCCGATTGTTCAGGCCCCGAAGCCCTATGAACCCTCACAGCCCCGAAACCGGTGAGACCCCCATTTCCAAAAGCACCCGAGGACCGGCGAGAGGCGCTTGAGCTTCCTTGAGCCCGGGGCCCTAGCAAAGACCCAACAATGAGGGTTGGGGTTTAGAGTTTGGGGTTTTCTCTTGCTTATCAAGCTCTTCTTAGTAGTAGAGTAGTTAACCTTCAATCCTTTTGGGGATACTATAGTCGCTAAATAATCCAAAAGGTTAATCTCTAGCTCCCGGGGATGCTGGACAAGTTAGTCTTGGCCACGCACTTTGAAGTAAGGGCTTAAGTGTGTCTTACAATCTCTGGGTCCAGCGTGTATAAGGAATAAGGATTCAAGAACACTCTTTTCAGCTAGAGGGTTATGGTGGAAATATCTTGTCTTGAACGCTCACTCATACTAAAAGTATAAGACATATATCCTTGGTAATGAGTGGGGGTCGGAGTGTTCGCCAGACGACCTAGATGAAGACAGCATGTGCAGCCGGATTGTGGTCCTAAGCCATGAATCCTCGACAAATCAATGGTAGACACTACCTCCGTTTTCGGTTCTGGATCAGTGCGTACTTTGCATGGCGCAGGATTGGAGGTGTCTCGAGTCCAGGGACCACTCACAGCTTGTTCTCCCAGAACTCGGATATTTCCCGGCTTCTGGACCCCCTTAGCCCCAAACCCCATGCGGGGGCGTTGATTACGGTTACGTATGATTGAAGGTAGCTCCTACCCCTAAGGGTCCAAGTACCCAAATAGTAACCCCAAACCCCAAACAAGCCCAGCGGAGCTGTCAAAAGTACCTGCGAAGAAGCGGCGTTAAAGCGGCGGCCGCTAAGTCGGAAGACGATGTCAGGTGCTCTGGCGCAGGCCCTGAACCTCGAGCCCGAACCCAATCACGGAAGTACCTGAAAGTTTGCGGTACCCAAACAGTAGGGTTTCAAGGTCCAAAAACCATTCAGGGTATGGATTTTGGGATCCACAACCCTACTATTTGGGTACTTGGACCCTCTGGGTACTAACTGCTGATGGACAAAATCCTGCATTACGCATTATAGGGAAGATGCCAAAGTTCCCATAGTTTAGAGTCCTTAGGGTCATGCAGGATATTGTCCATCAACAGTAGCTCCTACTAGAGGCAGAACCGTTACATCCACCAGCCGACCTTCTAAGGGTCCCCAGACTTACGTCGCTGTTCGGATGGCCCATAATCGGAGGCTTCAAAAGGTGGGATGAAGGTGGCTAGGATCAAGGATCCCTTATATAAGGACTCTCATTTGGGAATATCCCACCTCCCTTCATCCTACCTTTTGAGGCCTCCGACATAAGCCGCCCATACTTGGAGGGTCAGGGGACTTAGTAACTGGGTATTTTAGGGACTTGTAAGTACCAGAACCCCAATTAGGGTCCCTATTAGGGTACTTATAAGTCTACTTACTACCTATTTACTAAGTCCCCCGACCCTCCAAGTAAGCCCCTCACATACGAAGTTTCATTATCCAGACCCTAAGCCTAGAAGCCTGAAGCGAGAGCTTGCTATGATGGTTTAGTGTTCATTGCTGGTATGAATGCCTTGATTGTAGCAATGCTTATTATCCAAAAAACTTAGACTAAGGGTTCATTAAATCCGATATGCGTATCGTCGTATCGTGGTTATAAGGGCGCTGAGGTGTTGTAGGGTAGCAATGTAAACCTCACAGACAAATCATAGGGGCTCTGCCAAGAACGCAGGCTTATTAGCGAAGCCAGAATCACTGTCAACACTATCCTTTGGGTTCCTCGATTAGTCATACTATATCATAGCCCCAAGACTTGTCTAATGATTGAGGCCCCTGAAGCACCTTTTTGAAACACCTTTTATCGAACCCTCGTAGGACCCGAAAAAAGTTTGAAAACCGCCATATAGTAGAAGCCAGAAAGTTGGAATATGATTATCCTAACCCTTCTATGGTAAATTACAGGGTATCCTACCATGAAACCATATTCCAACTTTCTGGAGTTCCCTGTACTCTTACGCAGGAAGAATCTTGTGGTCCATCCGGCTTCTGGCCAGGCAAACAGTGATCTTCCCGGCGCGGCGTTTGGCCATGCTGGTCGTCAGAGCTACTTTGCCGCACAGGGTCAGAGGTCGTAACCTTGGCTTTTTGCTGAACTGGGATTCGGGCTCCCAAACTCTAAACCCAAAGCCTTACAGCCCGTGCAGGGATTCGGGGGCATGGTCACATTCTGGTTGCATGGACTCTCCACGAAGCCAAGCACATCGCGGTAACCGCTCGGGGTGAATGTCATCTCCACCAACGGTGAAAAATGCGGGGATCAAGAAGGCTCTTCCTTAGGGCATAAGAAGAATTTGCATCAAAGCGTGCTCCGGTATTTGAGGATGACGTTTCGATTGCTTCTGTGGTCATGACGTCTGTACTCAGAGCCAAATCCTTCACAAGCTCTGCTTGAGAGACTAGCATGAAGCTTCAGTATGTCGAGTGCTGGCAACCAAAGAGTAAGGAACAGGCTCCAGCACTGCTTTCGTGCAGAGCTACATCCCGACCTGTAGGCATGGCGCGCCCTGCCTCGACGTCCTACCTTAGCCCCCAAACCATATATGTCCCCTAAAAGCCCTCAACATCAAATCACAAAACACACCGCCTGCACCCAAAACCTGGGTTGAAGAGTCCGACTCGCAGTTCAACAGTCCGAAACTTCATAGCTACAAGCACTTCCAAACAGCCCTTGGTATAGAGGTTGCAAGACGTGGAATAGGGTTCTGGCGATGGATTATGGCATTCAGGTAGAAGCTAGTCAGACGGAGATAAAACCTTGAGCCCAGGTGTTATTCACAATCCTTGAAGAAGTTGAGTCTGAAGGCAGTTTGGTTTATAGGGCTTCGGGGATGCAGGGCTGAAGGGGTGAGGGTTGAGGGGTTGAGGGTTTGGGTTTCAGGTTTAGGGTGCAGAGGGCTGGAGGACTTGGTGATTCACAGGCGCGGTGAGGTTTTTTGCACTTGGTTATATTGTCATGGTTCAGCTCAGCAACCGAAAGCATGTGACCAAGCCCTCAGATGCGCCCAACAGTCAGAAGACTAAGCGCAAGAGCCACAACAGCAGACGACGGCACCGCCACAACGAAGCATGCATGATTCGCCCAGGGCCTTGTGAGTATCTCAGTCTCCGCCCCCTTGCAGAGAGGAAATCTTTTGTGAGCCTACTGACAAAACATCTCTTGAGGAAATGGGCAATGGGTACCCTGTCATTGCCTTGAACCCGAACCAAACAATCAAACCCTGAGCTCTGAACCTGATACCCCAAACCCAAAAAAGCCCTCAACACTGAAACTCAAACACCAATTCCTAAGTCGTTTCAACCAAACCCTCAACTGAACACCCTCATCCCTAAATCTTGTGGCCGCGAGAAGAGCCCAAAAGCACAATCCTGACCGCCGAACTCCTTAGTGAAATCGTTTGAAATTTCAGACAATACATTATGATACAGCACAGTATAATAAGATATGATATGCTACATCTTAATATGATATGCCCCTGCATCCCCAAACAACGCACTCTTCATTCGCAGAAGCGATCGAGCAGCGCGGAAACGAGTTGATGGAGGTCGATTGCCATTTATTGGAATCGTGTTTGGGTTTAGGGATTTGCGCATAGGAGTAGGAGGAACTATCATGTAAAAAACAGATACCACCGTGCCTCCCATCGGTGTCTGGCAGATTAGTTGAACGATTGTTGGTTGGAGTGTTGATGGTACTTAACGCTGAAACTAGCAGAGCCGCTTACATGTGCTATGTTCAGGTGCATACACGTGTGTATATATATATATATATATAGATAGTTTTATGTGCCTGTGTGATCTTGTGATTTGTGAGGTGCGTGTTTATGTGCATGTATATATATATATATGTATATATTCGTATATATATATATATATACCCATATGTTATGTTATGGTCTGATCTGATACTAGTATGATACGACATGATGTCCCAACACAATGAGCAACTTAACCTGCTTAACGCCAGGCTGGGATCTGCGAGCATAACAGCCTTACCCTAAGGCCCTAAAGTAGTTCTTTTTGGGGTTCATATTTAGAATCCTATTAGGTAATCCCAAAAAGGAAGTACTTTGGGGCCTATGGGAAATAGCTAGCTAGCAGTCGTATTGTTTAGAACAGTCTACTGTGTTCATTACATAACGTGGCAAAACCCGTACTCGCATTCTTTGCTACTTCGGAAGAGGCGCAGGGTTCTTCTGAAGGGTTCCTTCAAGGGGTTAGTTTGAAGGAGCTCTCATAGAACCTTGTAAGGAACCCTTACAAACCCGTATATTTCAATTATAGATCTCATTAAACCCTAAACCCTAAACTCCGAAACCCTACACCACTACCTAAACCCCTAAATCCTTACAGCCAAAAAGCCGAAACCCTAAACTGCTAGACCCCTAAACCCCTAAACTTAAACCCTCAACCGCAAGAGTTTCATTTTTTGACCCCGAAACCCTAAGATCCCTTATGGAACCCTTTAAAGGAATCCCTATAAAGACCCCCCCCCTCCTAAACCCTAAGAATCTCTTTTTTGTTCGTGCGTAAGGCCCTTTCGTCGGCCTCAGACGAGCAGCTTGCGGAGACCCTGGTCGAGGCAGCGGCCGTGGGGGCTTAGGGCCTTACGGGTTTACTCTACTTAGATAGCGAACGGGGGAACTTAAAACTTGTTGGCCATATAGATAATATATATATATATATATATATATATATATATATATATATTCGCTCTATCTTAGAAAGTTTGAACTTTTTGGGGCCGGGTTGTTGAAGAAGAGAGTCTAAGAGTTACGTTAAGGGCTTCTCTTAAGCTAAGGGTTACTGTAAGGGGTTTAATCTCGAGGGGTTACTCCAAAACATAAACTTTTATGGGTACTCTAAGTACTAGCAGGGTTACTGTGAGGGTCACTCTAAGGGATTTCGGGTTAGGCTTAGGGCTTCATATTAGTAATGAAGATAAGAACTGTAAGAGTAGTAGTAAGCAAGGGTTTATATGTTTCAGGTTGATGGGTCGACCTGTTGGGGGGTTCCGGTTCAGGGCTTCATAAGTTTATGGTTCAGGGGTTCAGAACAGGGCTGGGGGCTTTGGGATTTACCACGTTTAGGGGGTGGCGTTTAGGTCCTACCTGGACCCAAAAACAAGTTAAAGGGCTTATACGGAAAAATATCATATCAAGCAGCCGTAGACGGGTACCCGGACGGTCCAGGGATCCAATTAGTTGGGCTTTAGATCCCAAAGTCCATACTTATACTCCATACTTATACCTAAAATCCCTACAATTTTGGGGACCTTTGGGGGCAGTTAGCCAAGGCTTATATATAGGGCCTACACCCTCAGTTTGGGGCTGTGGAGTTTAAATTTAGGGCTTCCGGGCTCAAGCTTCAGGGTTCGAGCTTCTGGGTTTAGGGCTTAGGGTCGCGGGCTTCAGGTGTCGTGTTTCGCAAGTTTTGCGGACGCTTACAGATGTAGAGCACCGTCTATGGTTCAAGCTACAGTGTGTAATGTGTTGCAGGGTACATGAAATGACATAGGCTTTCAGGGATTATGCGCCCAGGAACTAACGTTCTAGAATTGTGTGCCAAGGCCTCATGCCTCACCAAGACAAACCAGACCAGGAAAACTCCAAAGCCCAATTGACAAACCGCGCCCCGAAAACCCCAAGGGACATATTGTAGAGGTCAAAATGTTTCGAATTTGCATTCCCCTTATCGGTCTTGTTAAGCTATAATGCCACACATCCAGAGCCCGGGTTCATTTATCGAGGCCCCTGCATTAATGTAGAAACCTACTTAAGAAAACCCAGGCCCTACAATCAGCAAGTAGTAGGATTCATGTAAGGAACCCTAAGAAAGACGCTTGGCTTCTTAATCAGGTTCCTACACTATTCAAAAACCCAACCCCCAGGCCCCAAGACGTGCCGTGCCCGAGTCCTCCAGGCCATTGCCGAAGTCTCCGGTGGAAACTCAACCTACGAGGCACGGTTTAGGGTTTGGAAAGAAGGCGCTCGGTAGGTCTTGAGGGGTTAGGCAGAAAGGGAGCTGATGCATCAGGGGTTTGCATTGACGTCCAGTAGAGGCTCGTTACTTCAACGTGGGATTGTTTCAGAATCTGCTTCTTAGGGTAGCTTTGAGATCCGGCTGTTTCCTGGAAGGAGGGGCATCTATCAGCTTTGCGCGAGGAGCAGCTGGTGTAAGTTAGAGTAGGGCAGAGAGCGAACCAGGAACACATGTATGTATACGTATGGCTATACAGCGCGTATGTGTGCACATGCAAGCATGTCAGCCTGTATTGATGTCAAATCCGTCCTGCTATGCAATTTCGGTTGAGGCTGTCGTGCTCAAGCTATAAATATAGAGGCATGAACAACTAGTAAACTACAAAATTATTCCTTAGGGGAAGTGGTGGTGGTGGTGGTGGTGGTGGTGGTGGTGGTGGTGGTGGTGGTGGTGGTGGTGGTGGTGGTGGTGGTGGTGGTGGTGGTGGTGGTGGTGGTGGTGGTGGTGGTGGTGGTGGTGCTGGTGGTAGTAGTAGCAGTAGCAGGAGGAGCAGTAGCAGGAGGAGCAGTAGCCGTAGCAGCAGGCGTAGCGGCGGCAGTAGCGGCAGCAGCACAGTTTCTTAGGGGAGCTTAAGGCTAACTGTTTCGCACTATGCAATGTAAGGATTATGATCACTTGGGCTGCCGCAGGAAGGTTAATGCATGCTTGCTGTAGGGGCTTTACTAATCAGAATAGGGTTTCGGGGCCAATTTTTATCAGTATAACCAAAAACCACCAAAAAAGATAGTTAATCATTGGGACCCCTACATTACTCGTGTACGAAGCCGGGAGTCTCCATCCTCCGTGTACGTGCAGCAGTTATTATTATTATTATTATTATTATTATTATTATTATTATTATTATTATTATTATTATTATTATTATTGTTACTATTATTGTTATTATTGTGATTATTATCATCACTATTATTGTTATTATAGTTATTATTATTGCGATTATTGTATCTAGCCACTGTTTTTGTTATTGTTAAATATTGATACCAGTGTTTTACGTAGTATCATTGGTCGTATTCGTTTCTTTAGTATTACTAGTCTCATTTGTAGTTTTATTTCCTCAAGTGAGCCCTAAGCCCTCGTCCCCATGGTGTTGCAGGTGACGGTGGTGGATCGACAGGTGCGCGGTGCCGGCCATGCACACTCCGAGATCGTGAGACTCTACAAGCCTAGCAAGAGTTTAGGGTTTAGGGTTTAGGGATCATCCTTGGAAACCTGTTTGGTTTGGTGAGTCACCCTGTCCATACTTACTCCACAGGGCCGGCTTTTGGGCGTGACCATATTCTGCAGCATAAGCATAGGAAACAGCAGGGTTCCCACTGGATGCACTCTGGAGATCCTATATTCCACAGATCTACAGTTCGATTAACCTAGTTCCGGCTTTTGCAACTATGCCTAGGTTGACTTGCTACGTCCCTTCAGTGATTCGGCCTCGAAGAACTATCAAACATGAACCCTAAACACCGCAAGCCCCATATTTTGATTTAAACTCGATAGGCCCTCCAAAGCTTTCCTGGCACACGCATCAGGCCAACGTCACAGTGCTGTTTGGCGACAGGGCCGGGCTCTCAATGTAGGGGCTGTACTTTAGGTACTGCCCCCATTCAGTAACAGTTGAATAATATTCATTATATAGATATACTTTGACCTTAATAGTAGCCCTATTATAGACTGTAATTTCAATGAGGTTCCTTCAGTGGGTTTTGGTGGGGGATACTACAAGATACTATAACGGTCCAGTAACAGAGGGGCCCGAAAAAATCAGAGCAGGGATATTATCGCATTATCGTATTCTATTAATATTTTTAAGAAGGCGCCACTTGACTTGACTCCGATGCCGTAAACCGGGTTAGGATTCGGCTTCGAGGGTTCAGGGCGTGCGGGGATCTAGAGATTCCCTGAGACTCCAAAACCCCTGACTTACGCAACACATCTCAAGTTATAGAGGGAGCCCCAGCACGCCACAGCATGATTTACTTACGGCATTTTCCTTAGTTCAACGATTTGGGAATCTCCATGTCTACCCTCAGGCCCTAAAGTAGTTCCTTTTGGGGGTTCATATTTAGAATCCTATTAGGTAATCCCACAAAGGAACTAACTTTGGGGCCTATGGGTAGGGCTACGAAGTTGGGGCTGCGGGTTTCGGATTCCCAGAGACTCCAATATCCCTTAATTAAGGAATATACCTTAAATTACAGTAGGATCCTGAATATGATTTAAGGTATATTCCTTAATTAAGGGATATTGGAGTCTCTGGGTTTCTAACGGGGGAGCCTCGGGGGTTTTCAGATGTGGACTTCCCACATTTCGGATCGTCTCTCCGAGAGGAGTTAGGGGTTTAGAGCTCTTATTGGGGACTATATGGAGAATTAGTATAGGAGACCCAAAAAAGGGAATTTTTATAGGGGCTCTATAAGGTTTAGGGTTCAGGGGTTGAGGGGTTTAGGGGTTAAGGGATTAGAGGGTTTTAGGGGTTTAAGGGTTTAGGGGTTAAGGGGTTCAGGGGTTTAGGGGGTTTAGGGTTTAAGGTTTATATAGCGGGTTTAAGGGTTTAGAGGGTTTCAGGGGCTTAGGGTTTAGGGGGTCAGGGGTTTCGGGTTCAGGGGTCTGGCGGTTTGGGGGTTTTGGGCCGAGGGGTAGACGGGGAATATACCTAACTATAGGGGTGTGATGGTTCTCGGGGTTCAGGGTTCGGGGGTTCAGGGTGTAGTTCAAGTGCGTGTGCAAGACCAGCTATATCAGCCTTGCAGCAGCAACCTCTAAAGTTCTAAAGGGGGGGAAACCTTTAAACCCCTAAACCCTAAACCCCTAAACCCCTAAACCCTAAACCCCTAAACCCCTAAACCCCTAAACCCTAAACCCTGTTATAGCAAGCCCCCCCCCCCCCCAGCCCAGTCGAATGATGCAAACCTCTATACCCATAGGCTCCATAGTGGTTCCTTTTTGGGGTTCATCTTTAGAATCCTACTATTTAGGGTACTATATTAGGGTCCCCAGTTTTCGCAAACTCTCATATGTAGAATCCTACACGGTAATCTGGAAAAGGAACTACTATGGGGCCTATGGGTAAATGACTCTGCCAGCGCAACTCCCAGACCAGTCCAGTGCGTTCTGGGGCGCAGGACTATTCTGGTGACTTTAACATCACTATCCCGCCGCATCTTCGCTGAACAGCCGGGTCCAGGGTCTATACTTGGAGGTTCATGGGCAGCTATAGTTAGAGTTATAGGTGGGTAACTATACTTAAAACCCATATTGGGGGACTTTAAGCCCATTTATAACTACCCATGAACCACCCTGTAGGGTTCAGCGTCTACAGGGCTTCGGGGAGCTACTGTTTGGATTTCGGGGGCCGCACAGCTAAACGGGTCTGCAGTTCATTTGCGCAGTGTTGACCACTAGCAGAAGTCGGTTATAATGGGAAGGTCCCACTGCAAAGCCTCACAGAGGAAAGCACCCTGAAGCTTCTAAAGATGTTACGATGGTTCAGAGCAAGCCGTAAGCAATCTGGCGTCCTTTTCTGGATCCGCCCGCCCTGTCAGTTCGTCAGGAGAAGCCCAAGCACGCATTGAGATATCTTAAATTTGCACTTGAAGCGCAAGCCTACGTCCCGGAATCACTGAAACCTTGCAGGCCAAAACCACGACTACACCAGAGACCCTTTTCCCTTGTGCTCTCAAAACCCACGCCCTGGGTCCCTCCAAGCCATGCTGTGAGTTCCGGTCCTAGAAACTGCAAACTGTGCTGTTTTGCCGAGGGTCTACGAGCCTCCCCCGACAGGCGCGACCCGAGAGGTCTTGCATTCCCCAAGACAAGCGAGTCTGAAGGGTCTCAGTCCTGAGACCGAATCGTGAAGCTTCAAAACAACATGCCCTAATGAAGCAATGTGACTAGTGATGCTCATTGCCTCAGCAGCAGCGGAGACGGAGTGAGAGTATATACAGACCCAGTTGTGGTGGCAGTAGACGTGTTGGTAGTGCTTAGTCGTCGTAGTTGTAGTCGTGCTCGTAGTAGTAGAGGTCCTCATGGTGGCGTGGGTGACAGTCGCGGGATATGGCACTCGTAGCAGCCGTAGCTCGGTACAGACAGCCCTATAGTAGCCAAGAGGCTAAGCTTCTTTCGGTCGGGGAAGCTGTGCAGCCCGGAAATCACACACCGTTTTGTGAACCTAGTCTTGAAACCCATTTTTGTGGCGAGGCTCTTCGAAACCAGATCGCTTCCATGGGCTTGTGTGAGAGCTCTTGCAGGAACCTGACGGCGACGAAATAGACATCAGTATGCATGTGTATGCGTATGTACATGTGTCGCACATGTGCGTTCTTTTGTTGTTGGCTTGTTTCTGTGTTGAAACACTGCTCTGGGTGAGTGAGCATCGGACCTCGCCAGAAACCTAAAGCTTGGGTCAGTCCCCCCACAGAAGCGGTGGCGCAATATCTCGAACGTATCTACACTAGTCCCTTATGTAAACCCTAGCAACTACCCTAAGGCCCTAAAGTAGTTCCTTTTCGGGGTTCATATTTAGAATCCTATTAGGTAATCCCACAAAGGAACTACCTTGGGGCCTATGGGTAACCTTGCCTGACATGGCGCTGGGTCAGAAGGCCCGGTTCAAGGATTCTGGGGTCCATCCCGGGAGTGCATCAGCCTGACAAAAGCACGACTTCCGCCCAAAACCAAATCCTAAAATTCACGGGCCCCTGAAATCCCTAAAAGAACGTTCCGGAGTTTGAGAATTGGACTTTATAAACCCTATAAAGCCTGCACTCAAAGACTGCCCAGATGATGGCGGCATTACCACCACCGGCCTGATCCTGGGGGTCGTCGCTGGCATCATCGCGCTGTTCGTGGGCGGCCTTTGCAAAAGCCCAAGCAACAGTCTGTCGAGCTTTGAGGCTTCTGGGTTGAGTCTTAAGGCATCTTAAGGCTTTTGAACGGGTTTCACAAAGTCAGGGTGTTTGTGGATTTGGGTGTCTGGTGAGAAGACATACTTGAAGCTGCACTGCGGGGTTTAAGATTCTTCAAGTACCTGCGAAAGTTACATTCTGGCCTCGAGAACCTCTGTACAACAGAGACTGCAGTAGACTCGACCAAGACCCCGTCTTGCTGGAAGTTAGAATGTTAGAAAACCAATACAAAATGCCTTCGTCTTGATTACATACCTTTCTGCTACATGTAGCGGTCAGGCTTGCAATAAGCAAGGCCTGCATTTTCCATTGTGGTTCCGGCTTTTGGCTGAACAGCATCAGGCAGGAACCCAAACAGACCATGCTTTGAAGATGCAAACGAGAAACAATTCAACATTAGGAGCAGCCTTGGCATCCCAGGTGTCGGCTGCCTCGTTGGGCGGTGCGTCGCGAAGAGGGTGGGCCACTAAGACCTCAATCCCTGACGGTTTAGGGCCTGAGGGTTCTAGAGTCTACGGCTTCAGGGTTTAGGTCTTGAGGGTTTTTAGGGTGTAGGGCTTTACCCATAGGCTCCAAAGTAGCTGAGTTGAGATTACCTAATAGGATTCAAAATATGAACCCCAAAAAGGAACTACTTCAGGGCCTTAGGGTAGGGTCTAAGCCTAAGCCCTCATAGCCTCAAGCCACTGCTCCGAACCCTACGGTCTGCTCTGGGGTTCAGATGACACCCAACCTTGCAATCCCAACCCTTAGGGGTACTTAGATATAATAGGGTTTAGGGTTTTGGGTTTAGGGTTTAGGGTTTAATTGTTGATTTTTTGTCATTATAATCCCTAAGAAACAGCTAAAACTATAATTTTTGATAGGGTTCTAAGTTCAGTATAGATCCCCTGAGCCCCCCCATTCAATCCCCTTCTCAAAACGCAGGAACACTGTAGATCCCTGGCTAAGAACCTCCGAAGAGTCCCTACCTTCATCCCAGAAGTATGTAGAATACTGGCCATTTCTGGGTGTTCGGCCATTTGGTTTACCTACTTTGGGGGGTCTGGTGTGATAGATGGGGGGTCACAATCAGGATCAGGGCGCTGACCCTCCACCCCAGAGGCCAAAAGCCTTGAAAACATAGGGTTCCCCTGGACCTGAAGCTCCGAACTCTATAAACTCTATCCGAGTAGGCAGCTTAAAGTTTTTCCGGCATGCATACTTGGAGGGTCGGGGGATGTAGTAGCTGGTTATTTTAGGGACTTATAAGTACCATAACCCCAATTAGGGTCCCTTTTAGCACCATAAGAATCAAAGAATGGCCCTTCTGGGCCGCCGGCTGGGGACTGGCTAGGTTTTTAAGCCTGTCGAGCTGGCTTCTTGCTTCCTCTGCCGGGGTCACGACTGGCTTCTTGTTCAGGAGTTTGTTTGAGATACCATGATTGATCAGGAAACCGTATAGATACCATAATTGATGAGGAAACCGTATCAGTTACGATAGATATCCTGATTTTCTGGTGACTTAAGTTAAACTTCCTAGCAAGAACCCAGCTACCCTAAGGCCCTAAAGTAATTCCTTTTTGGGGTTCATATGTAGAATCCTATTAGGTAATCCCAAAAAGGAACTACTTTTGGGCCTATGGGTAACGTCAAGTTTCCTCAGGGCATGGCTTGCCCCGGGTTTGGGGTTTGGGGTCCCTACACGGAGGACATCTTTCGAAGCCAGAATTCCTGAACCCTCAAGCCCAAAGCAAGCACCCAGGCTCTGAACCCCACACCCCAAACCCTGCAGCTGGGCTTGCATGGAGTCGCAGGCGAAGCGCCAGACAGAGCACTTCATCTTCTCGGACAGCGCTAGGCTCAGAAGCACTCCAAACCCTCCCGACTTCAATGGCGGGTCCGGCGCGGAGTAAGTGAGCTTAGAAGTTAGAAGTGAGCTCGTATTCCTGGGGGACCTGGAGAAATAGTACTGTGATTTCTACAGCATGACACTTGGCAAAGTCCTGATCAAACGGTCTTCACCTCAAAAATCAGCTTCGTGTAAGTCCGCAGTTCCTCTTACAATGATTTCATTCGATAGAGGGATAATTAATACAGTATGGCTTTGAGGTATGGTCTATTCGTAAAATTGGCCGGTTTTGGGGGCTGCCTAGGTTCCGGATGCGCAGCTCAGGTCCGCCTCAGCCAGACGTCGAAGTACCCGAGGACCCAGGGTGAAAAAGGATGGGTTTTGTGTCACCTGCTCTAGGGTTGCACTTGGAGGTTCATGGGCAGTTATGAGGGTTCCTTTAAAGGGTACTATAAGGTTTCTTTAAAGGGATATATATATATATATGGGTACCATAAGGGTATAGGGTTGCATTTGGAGGTTCATGGGTAGTTAGAAGTGGGCGTACAAGTAGGGTAACTATACTTATTACCCATATTAGGGGACGTATGAGCCCATTTATGACTACCCATGAACCTCTAAGCAAGACATGGAGTTGTAGAAATTCATAGGGTTGTATAGGATGTTGGACGACGTTCGTGTGGTGAGCCCTCTGTGTTTCAGTTTAGAGTTGAGGGTTTGGCCTTCAAGAGGTGCAGCATTCGAAACATCGCAGATCTTCTGGGTTTGACTAGGGTTTAGGGATTAGGGCTGAGCACATCAAAGACCACACAACTCCCAGCAGTCTGTTGCCAGATCAGACATGTGCCCTCAAGCGCCAGGTTATCTAGTTCAAGTCGTGGTAGTGTTGACCTTTGCCATGCAGAAATTCGTAGAAGCTGGAACCGAGATCCACATTGAAAATGCCACAGCCTCGACCTGCTCAGGGCAACTACCAGGGCAACGTTTTCCTGGACGACGATGCCTTCGACAGCGCTGCCTTCAGAGACGAGCCGGTTCCACCAGACTCTCCGCCGGCGCAGCCCGGGCAGGCGGGAGCAACTCGAATGACCCCCCCCCACGCCACTCCTCCTCTGACGGGAAAAAATGTGTACGCACATTTGTATATGCATATACTTTTCTTTAGTGTATCTATACATATATACACATAAAATACTTATCTATCTGCATATGTAGAATCACACCCTCGTCTACGCATTCAGGCCTTTGTATTACCTGGTTGAGGGTTTGGGAACCTGAAGCTTAGCACACCTTCGAAGCTCAACGAATAAGCCGTTGGGCTGTGACTAGGTTCGAATTTTTGGGGCCAGTTTCGGGTTCAGGGCCCAGGGTTCAGGTTCAGGGAGTTTAGGGTTTGGGGTCTGAGGCTTGTAGTACCAGAAAATCTGGAGAAAGCTAGCCGTGGCTTTACAAGTCTGTAAGCAGGTTTTACGCCTTTAATCCAAAAGATCGACGGACCCTCGCTGAAGTTCTAGTTCTAATCAACTATGTCTATGCCCTCATGATTCAGAGCTGATTTTGTAGCCACCATGCAACTAGAGTTGTCTTGCAGTTGAGTCTCGCTTGTAATTTCGGGTCCCCTGCCCTGCCGTTTAACTGTATTTGTCTTACGAGCTGCCACATCCTAAGCATGCAGAACACCCTTATAACCCCTCATAAGTATGCCCTGTCTTTACGCGGTAAGGCTCGTAATCGCGTCGTTGAGTTCGAAGAGGCCTGCAAACACATGTGTCTTTGTGGGTGGGGGCGGGGCAAGTACAGAGTTCCGGTTTTTCGGTGTTTGAGGTTTATGGTATGGTTGGAGTGCGTGCATTCGTGTCATCTGGAAACTTGGTGAGCGGTTACCGTGAGATTCCTTGTCCGATCGAGTTCGTGCACGGGCTATTCCGGGGCAGGTCTTCGTGTATGGTTTGCACTATGTATTCCCTGCAAGGGCTGGCTGCAACAGCGAAGCCTGAATCACTACCCAGAGACTCCAATACCCCTTAATAAAAGAATATACCTTGAATTTACTAGGAAGCTTTTTCTGATTTACTGAATATTCCTTGATTAAGGGCTATTGGAGTCTCTGGGCACCGTCTACCAGTACTCGTCAAGTTTTCAGGGTTCCCCCCCAGTCTGCCCACCAACCAGGAGCCAAGGACCGGCTTGGGATACCTATGGTGTTGGCTCGGCGTTTAGGGTATGTTTTGAGGTTTCTTGCTTGGAGGTTCAGGGGTAGTTATACGTGGGGTTATAAGTCCCCTAATATGGATTATAAGTATAGTTACCGTACTTGTAGCCCTACTTATAAGGACCATGAACCTCCAAGTAGTGTAGTCTTAGTTCCTTTTTGGGATTCGTATAAAGAATACTATAAGATAATCCCAAAAAGGAACTACTATGGGGCCTCGGGGTAGCCTCCAAGTGGGGATCCTTGAGAATTCCTGCTCCCAGACCCAAGCGGCAGTTCCGGAGGAGGTCGGGGGCCGACATGACACGGAGTTTGGTTTGAGGAAGTTTAGGGCTTTTAGGGCTTAGGAGTATGTATGGTGTGTTTAAGGTTTAGGGGTTTTGGGCTGGGCGTTTTAGGGCTAGGGTTTGGGAGTGTAGGTTTTTAGGGTTTTGGGCTTACGGGGGGTTTGGGAGTGTAGGTGTTTAGGGTTTTGGGATTTTGGGTTCTAGGTCCTAGGGTTCGATTTTAGGGTTGTACGGTTGGGGGTTAGGGCTTTAGGGCTGAAGCTTCGGGTTTAGGGTTTAGGGTTTAGGGTTTAGGGTTTAAGGGTTTAGGGTTTAGGGTTCAGGGTCAGGGGAGTGGAAGCGTAATTTGTTCCGATTTCGCGAGCTTCTGGATTGCAGATGGGTTTCGTCTGCAGGTTAGAGGACCCTGAACCCCAAACCCCGTGCTTTGGGGATGCTAATTGTGTATCAGAGCACACGGTTTCACCTGTCTCTACTGGTAGGAAAATCCCGGACACTAATTCTGTTTAGTTTCGCTACATACTGCAACTCAGGTCATATCTACGGACTGCAGCATTCCTTGGTTATGAATGCTTGTCAGATGGATTCCGACTACGATGTCAGGAACTGAGGATGAAGTCGCGACACCTGTCTCATCGATGCTTTTCGCTCACTCGGCATCAAAGTCCCGTACTTGGAGCATGGTCCCTTCTTCGCCATTCGGGACGGGCGGCGACTGCTGTCCGCACTGGGGTCGCTTGTTGCAGTGAGGTGCGACGGACCCGGAACTACTGACCCGACTGGATCAAAAGGTATGATGTAGGGGCCTTAGAAATTAGCATAGTGTTTTGGGTGGGTTTTCCCTATTCTATCTTTAGCATAATAGACCCCAGAACCCTATTCCAAGGATGAAGGCCCCCATATTTTTCTGCACCTCAATCACAGGGTTGTGGCCATGCGACTTAGGTTTTTCGCACACAAGGCAAATTACCGATATGTAACGGGTCATCTCTTTGTGCAGGAAACTGGCTCTACAGGTTCTTGGTGGCTTAGGTTCGCGGCGTTCTTCCATGACATGTCACATCCCAAAGCCTATCCACCCTAGACCTGAAGCGGAGCTTAAGCCCTTTCAGACGTGTAAAGTGCCTTAAACCCTAAACACAAACCCTAAACCAAAGCCCTAAACCCTGAGCACTAAACCCTAGGCCCTAAACCCCAACCCTAAACCCTAAAAACCCTGCTTAAACACCTCAAAAACCCTAAAAACCCTAAAAACCCTATGAACCCTAAACCCTAAACCTAAAACCCCTGAAAGCCCTAAACCATGAAGGTCTCGGGGTGTAATGATCGGCTTCAGGGTAGGAGCCTTGGAGCATTCGGGCTCCTCACTTCCTTTAAGGGAGTTCCTGGAAGGGCTCCTTGAAGGGTTCCTTAAGGGTTTAGGGTTTAGGGTCTTTAAGGGAGTTCCTGGAAGGGCTCCTTAAAGGGTTCCTTAAGGGTTTAGGGTTTAGGGTCTTTAAGGGAGTTCCTGGAAGGGCTCCTTAAAGGGTTCCTTAAGGGTTTAGGGTTTAGGGTTTTGGTTTTAGAGCGTTGGGTGTAGGATTCAGGGCTCAGGGCTAAGGTTTCCATGGCCTTCGAATGTCTCGCAGACGAGCCCGAAGTTTGCATCAGGATTTCGGCGTTGGGTTGTTTTTTGAGGCTGCAGGGCCTCGGAGTTTCGAGTATAAGGAGAAAAAAGTTCATGTTGTGGGTTTAAGCCCTAAGCCTTGCGGTTCGGGGCTTCAGGGCCGTTTAGGGCGATTGCAGATGTGGTTCGCGCGAGGCTTCCCGTTCCCGCGCGTCAGAGGGTGAGGCCGAGCCAGAGCCTGCGTTTCGGTATCTTGGTGGTTTCTGGTCCAAGGTGGGGAGAAATATCAAATCCTAAGCCTTGAACGATTAGCCCTAAATCCTAAACCCTAAACCTTAGCCGTAAATCATGTAATAACTTCGGAAGCGATAGGTTCGGGTCGACCAGGCCTACATTGAATCTCGTGTTTCGGGGTTAGGCTTTAAGCTTTCTTTCGAGGTTTCCTTTAAGGACGCCATACGGGATGTAATGCCAGGGTTTATCAGGTCAGGGTTAAGGGTTCAGTTTAATGTGCAGATGTTCAGATTCGTGGTTTGACTTTAGGCTTGCGGCTGGAGGCTTCTGGATTTGAATGTCCTAGAACTTCTGATATGAGGCGTAAAAGCCAAGACCCTGAACAGTAGGTAAGACTCTGCACCGGAATGCCCAGAGCTCTGAATCCTAAGTTCCGATAACAATACTCTACCCTACCAGGACCCCCCCCCCCCCCGGCCCTTTGATAGAGTCCTTGTGGCCCTTAATAGTGAGCTTTTAGGGGTACACTCGAGGTATTCCTCTCTTGAACAATCTTATGGTTCTTTTTCAACAGGGTTCTTCTTCAGACTTAGCCCCGACCTCGCTCATAATTCCGGGAAACATTCCAAAACGTACCTTGTCATGCCACAACATTCTAAAACCTTCCAAGAAATTCCAGAACATTGGGTCGAGGTCTGTCAGCAAAGAAAATGTGCCGCAAAGCATTGGGCAGCATTTCCCTTGCCAGCAGGCAAAGGTCGAGAGAATTGAAAACCGCACACACGCGATCCGTAAAGGATTTTTTTGTATTTTTTTGATTTTTTTGGAATGTTTCGAAATGTTGGGCTTTTTTCGGAATCTTAGCAAACATTTCCAAATGTTGGATTGGCTTGTCCGAAAAAATCCCAACAGCATGTATCAGAGGTTGAAGCAAGGCATCGTTTTGGGCCTATTTTGGCTGTTGCCGGACGCCGCTGAACATTCCAAAACATTCTGTATCATTCCAGCCATTTGAAAGCATTTTTCGGAATCTGCTTCTTGGCTGCAAAGGCCACTGAAGAAGTACCCCATTGAAGAAGCACCATATGATTGTCAATGATCCTCCAAGCCTGGAGACCGAAACTTCAGGGAGACGTGGCTTAGACGCCAGCATGGGGCCTGAGCTCTTGGATTCGGTTTTTGGGGCAATGTTGCACTTGGTTTTGGGAGTCGAGGAACCCCCTCTACCCAGCCATGAGAGCTGTGGACTGTGCTGCGAGGGGTCTTTTTTGCTGTGTGTTGTTCCTACATTTGCTTGTATAGGAAGTTGTATATATGTACCTGATAGCTGTGGATTGCAGACATCGACCTCCGACAAAAACTCCGGTGTTTTTTGTTTCTCGGCAGGCGGGTTTTGGTAAAGTGAGAAGGATGAGTGTGTCACACTGCACCAGCTCTGTCCGCCAATCATACAGGGGAGCGACATTCACTGCCACTACCAAGTAGGTCAACAATGCATGCCTCCTTGGTGGCAAAAGTTGCAGTTGAAAACATCTTCACCCTTCAAGGCTGAAGGTCGGCCCCTCGTCCTAAAAATAGACCTCAGCCTTCGCAACCCAAGACCTTACTTTAGCCTTACACTCACAGCTCCAAACCCTAACTGTAATACTATATACTCTATCTATCAAACACCTTACAGTAGAAGCCGGAAAGTCGGAATATCATTATCATAATCCCTTTAAGGTAAATTATAGGGGATCCTACCATTAATCCATATTCCAACTTTCTGGAGTTCCCTTTACGTCTTTTCCCCTAAACTCCGACACTTGCACTCGTCCCCATGGTAGCGGGACAAACCCATGTGACTCGGACGCAGGGCTCCCCAGCCCCGGCGCAGGCTTGGGACATGTCGTATAGGGCTTTTCGAAGTTTCGGAGGATTTTATGTTTAGGGTTTAGGGTTTAGGGTTTAGGCAGGGTTTGTTCGAAGTCTTGGGAGTTTGGTGGCTTCGGCGGTATCGAGCGTCGCGCTTGTGTTTCCAGACTGGGCCTCCGCACTTACAAGGCCTGGGGGCTAAAACGGCTCAAGTCGTTCGACAGGAGCATCATCAAACTCATCCTAGTCGTATCCCTGAATCAGTGACCCAAGAAGATCCAAATAAGACCCTAAAACCCCCAACCCCGCAGACTTAACCAAGCCCCCACCCTACAGACTATCTTGCGGGAGGCCACGCGATCCAGACAATCCTACGACTCGAGCGCTTTCCCCATCATGGAACCTTGGGCTCAAAGGGATTCTGTCTTGTGCTTGGTAGGGGAATGGGGGAATGGATCCCTATGTGGGTGGTTCTAAAAGATTATGGTCCTTTTTGGGGTACCCTAAATACTAGGTGCCGTATTATATGAGGGATGCGAAAAGAGACCCTAATAATCCCTAATATTGACAACCACCCATAAAATCCCCACTACTAGTCCCCATAACCCATTCCCCCCATTACTAAGAAGCAGACAGGATTGACCAGCCTGTGTTCTCTTTTGGTTTCGGGTTTGGGCAGACCGAGGAGCAGGCCCCAAGTGAGCCCGAGCCAGCTGGGAGCTCAGAGACGGTGTCGGAAAGGGTGGCTGCGCTAAACCCACCCAGGGTTTAGGGTTTAGGGGGGCTTACGGGGAGGAGCGGGGGTCGTGATCTTAGATCCCCACTGCACAACCTTAAACTTTTGGAGTTCTTGTAGTTTATATAGTAGGAATCTGAAAGTTTAGCCTTCTATTTCTGTGGCTTATTATTGGGGGTAGTAAGTTAGGGTTTGGGGTTGTGGGGTGTCAGGGCGTTCTACAAGGCTTACGCTTTGTGGTCTTTAGGGTTTCAGGTGTTCTAGAGGACTTCGGGTCTAGTGGGTTTCAAAGGCTTCGCGGGCCTATATGGGCACTGGCACCAGAAGCATCAGGGGTTCCATCCGACTGGGCTTGGGGCTGAGGGCCTTTAGGGTTAAGGGTTTAATTTAGGCGTGGAAGTGACGGCTATACATCAGGAAGCGGAACAGCAAGCAATAGTGTCCCCTTGCAGCTCCTTTCCTCGTAAAGTCTACCGTAATCTACCCCAAACCCGATTCTCCTTGCCAAGGTCCTTATGTCCTTCCCCTTGTGGTTGAGTATTGTGGTGTACTGTAGGGGTCGAAGGTTCAGAGCTTAGGGCTTTGGTGGGCCTAAGTTTTCGGTTGCTCATGCTTTGAGGCGATCTTTCGAGTGGAAGTCCTAATGTTCCACGTGATCTCGGCAGTGGCCCTTAAGGGTTCAGGGGTTTGGGGTTACAGAGTTATAAGCTAGAAACCTTAGACCTGAAAACCCTAAAGCTCCGAGCCAAGAAGCTCTAAACCCATGTAACTGAAGTTAAGATCCTTCCGAAGAACCGCACAAAGCCTTAAGACCCATATCCGAAGGCTCAACATCCTAAACTGTAAATGCTAAGCCCCGAACCCTACAACCCGGAGCCCTAAAGCCCTAAAGTCGCGAAATCACGCCCGCTGGGTTCGAGGGTTTTGTCGTGCCTGGGCTGGCTTGATGTTTACAGTTTCATGTCGTGGCCTTTACTCTAAGCGCCCAACTCCAAGCCGTAAGGTAATCAAACCCTTCGCCATATCGCAATGCATGCTGTCGCCCGGCCCCATCGCAGGGTTACCCAATAGTTCTGTTTCGATCTGCAGGCATTGGTCTAACACACAAAACCCAACCAAACCCCAAACCCTCATTCCGTATCCCAAGCCTCGAATTGGGGCCTGAGATCTTCTCGAATTGTACTTTAGGGTTTAGGGTTTAGTTGTGGCCTTCCAAGACTCTTGAAAAATCTCGCCGCCCAGTTGATGGTCAGTACTGTGTAACGCCTGCGCCTCAGTGATGCTTAAACCTGAATTAAGCCCTGAACCTCTTCCGTTTAGAACTTAGGCTCCTCCAATCCACGAGTCCAGGAGTCACTGAAAAGCTCCTTCGCGCATCCCCAAAAGAGTGCATCACCCTTGGGACCCCGTATCCCAGAATAAACATGGTTCCTGAGTCTCAGAGCGCATGGTGCAGTTTAGCGTTCTGCCTTTTGGCTTGTGGCTTCTTGCATGAGGGTTGTAGCCTATGGTTGAGGAGTCACTGCCGGCACAGGGTGAAGACTTCAGATAGAAGCTTTTGGTATTTCTGACGGAGATGAACTGAATCGGCATCAGACAGCATAAGTCTTTCTAGATTCTAAGAGTGATGCTGGTTGGGGCAATCATAGCCAGACACCCCAGGCGTAGTTGGCATGCACGACGGGTTCTTACTACCTCCCTTCGGTCTAGACTGAAAAGCATACCATCAAGCCAAAAAAACAGTCCAAGCCCCTGAACCCTTGCAGTCTTCTTGCAAACACCTTGGGAAACCTGAGAATTCAAACCGCAGGAGCAGAATCGAAGAGTTGGGGGACCTCCCCACACGAAGAGTCAACAAAATAATTGAAAGCACTCTGGCTTATATAGTTACATATACATGTACATCTATACGTTGCCCATTGTAGTTTGGGGGTTTCTTTCTGAACACTGAATCATGACACTATCATGATTATACAGAAAGGGGTCCACAGCTCTTTCGCTGGGGAACCTTGCATTTGGCTCTGCCCTCCCGAGGCGTTTGCACGATGCTACTGGTCTGGTGACCCGGTCACCACGGGACATTATTTCACGCCAAAGTTGTGCAGCATGTCCTGTCCTGAAAGCTGTGCGGGATGCTGTAGTAAAGGGTCTATCATGGTTTAGGGTTCCCTTAAATTAAAAGGATCTAGAAGGCCACCATAAGAAGGGGTCTACAAGGGTTTGGGGTTCCTTTAAAGGGAGATACGTGAACCGAGCGGTTTTGCAGGGCCCGGCAAGGTGGCCCAGAGGTCGTTCTTGCGTTTAGGTTTCGTGTAGGGCTCGGGCTGGGTCAAGAAAAGGGTTTAGGGTTTAGGGGTTTAGGGTTCAAGGCTCGAATCGAAAAGGTTTGAAGGACCGGGAAGCTGTGTGGTAATTGTTTCTGTCGGGAAGGCATCGAAACTCTGTAGCACCCTCAAATTCAACAAGACCCACAAAACTGAATCCGAAACCTGCAACCAGGAGCCCTGAACCCAGCTTGTGAAGCTTCGGACACTGACGTGCTGCTTGCGATCTTTAGTTCGAGAGGATGTGCAATCCGCATCTCTCAGAGGACTCCCTATCTGAGATCGAGATATGTCGTCCGATATTTTTGTATTTTTTTACTATGGTGAAAGCTGGCCATCGCTGTCGAAACAGCCGCCGGCTTTCACGAATGGGGATTGGTCAAGACCTGCGGACCGTGGGCCATCACTGCACTTCGTATCTTAAAAGGCGAAAAAATCCACAACCTAAATTCGCAGACCTACAGTGAGAGCTACAGCCGAACTGGGCCTAGTAGTCTTGAGCAAACTCCCCTCTGAGTCGGGTGGCTGAGGACGTCAGGGTGAGTTCTGGGACGCTAGGCCTCCACCCCGAAGCAAGAGCCTGAATGATTAACATAGGGGCTTAAATTACTTATACTATGTTGGGGGTTCGTTAATAGAATTCTAGTATTAGGGGCCCCCAAACCCTGTTCTAATCATGAAGGCCCCTATATTACGAATATTGTTCGAAGATCATTCCTTGGGGTTCCTGATCATACAGTAACATATACTGTACCCAAAACCCAATTCTGATCATGAAGGCTCCTATAAAGGCCTCCAGTACTAGACAAACTCGGCCGCCCTCACTTTCAAGACGAAGCAGCAATTTCGTCGACTGCCGGTGCAGCAACTTATTTTTGGCATGACGTGTGACCTGCTGCGTCATGCCCCCATTGCTGATGCCTCATGCAAGTTTGTAAAACCACACAATTCCTGAAACAGATCCCAAAGCGAAAAGTGAGGCCCTGAATCGTCTCACCCCTACGGCCTTCTTCTCTTCAAAGGGTTGCTTGGGGAAGCTAGGTGAAGAACGAAGTAAGGATTGCGCGCACTGGACCTAAGTGTCGGTGAGCCGCTGCCCGGCATTGGGACCAGACCGAGGTTCCTTCTGGGAGGCTTGAAAACCCTCGTAAGCTCCTTATTACACAACTCTTCTAAGATGCAGAGAGCCCTGAAATCGTGAAAGAGCTTTTCCAAGACCCTGATTTGCATCTACGGTGCTTGAGGGTGTATGGCATGTTAGGACATTCGCGGGCCGTCGAAATCGATGTTTGTTGATCCTTTGCCCTTTGAGGCACCGGCGTCGAGGTGTCTCGTCGTCAGCATTTTTGGCATTCGGTTGCAGGATGCTACATGTTGGCAGAGTCGGGTAGGTCGGAGGGGACTGATTACAAGCGGGCATTCTCTACCTCTATAGCGTACTAGAGGACTTGTAGCTACCATGGGCCCGTGCATCGAACAATACCATTTAGAGCTTTTGCATACATTGACCTGGTATGGCGGAGCTTGGTTGCGGCTGTTGCCCTTGGGCAATGTAGTAGGTGTTATGGCTTAGGATGTAAGCTTCAGGGTGTAGCGTTGGCGATTTGGGGAGTTTAAGCCGCGGAAAGACCATCCGCCTCCCGCCTTCGAGTGCTGGTCTCAAGTCGGCGATGTTGCTGACAAATTAAATCTCCTCCATACTTCGTGTCTTTGAATGTTGGCCATGCCGTGAAGCACCGACGCATTATTCGTGGCTTCTGCACATGGCTAGGTATGGCTTGTTCGAAATTCGGGATCCCTGTACAATCCAGAAGCCAAGCAGAACACTGGCTGAGGGATACCAATTTGGAACAATCCGCGAACAGTTCGTCTCTCTGGGAATGCGGAGGGAAAGATCAGGCAGTCCGAGACTCCCTTAACCCAGAAAGTTGGAATCTCATTATCGTAACCCCTTTAAGGTAAATTATAGGGGATCCTACCATTAATCCATATTCCAACTTTCTGGAGTTCCCCTTAAACCCAAACAAGCATGGCGGTTTTTGGAATGTTCTCCGATAGGCCAGACCCTTGAACCCTAAGTGCCAAATCCTAAATCCAACACCGTATGACTCCCACCCTACATGGGAGTTTCCAAAAATAAGGGACCCTAATATAGTACCCTAAATATTAGGATCCTTATTATAAGGACCCCGAAGTAAGGTACCCCCAGTTTTCGGAAACTCCCACATCCCAGACCCTAACCCTAGACCTCGTACGTGTCATCTAGATCCTAAGCCCTAGACATTACCGGTACCACCACTGGCCGCTGCCTGCTCCAGCAACCCCCGCGATCCGCGGGCGCCCAAAGGCACCAAGATCGGAACCCTAAATGCTCATCATAAGGGCCTCTTGCGTTCAGAGAGCCGCTCCAAGTTGAAGAACTCTGCTTGGTTTGTTGACAAATTTTCGGAGTTTACCATGCTAAAGGTATGAAAGTTAGCCAGTGGGCCGACGAGCCTGCTTTAGGTCGCTCGATCTTACCTATAGTCTCCATGGTAGTTCCTTTTTTGGGTTACCTTATAGGATCCTTAATACTTAATTGGCTAAACCAAAAAAAGGAACTACAATGGAGACTATAGGTAATATTAGCGTTTCGAATGGGGCGGCGGGGAGCGGGTTTACAGGGTTCGGGTCGCAAGTTCCGATGATGTGTTTAGCATGTTCCTGCACATTCAATCCGAAGCAGTGCTGACCCTAACCAACAGGCACCAGTTAGTTAGGAATAGTTTCACACTGCATACTGTCAAGATTTCAGTACAAGTTGTACAAAAACTTTTCCGAGGAATAATGCACATAGCCCTATACATGTCTTGTCTTACTTAAACTATAACTGCATACATAGCATACCCCAAAAAAATCTCTAGTTTAGGTTATACCCAGAGGCTCCATAGTAGTTCCTTTTTGGGATTACCTTATAGGATTCTACATATGAACCCCAAAAAGGAAGTACTTTAGGGCCTTAGGGTAGTTTGGTTATAAGTTCATAAATCTCAAAACTGCTTTGGGCGCCCGGAGAGGTGGAGCTTCAAGTTTTCTGCTGACGAGGAACATCGGTCCTTGTTTCAAAGTGTCGGACGTGTGTGGGCGAAGCGGTTGAGGGTTTTAGGGGTTTAGGGGTTTAGGGTTTGGGGTTTGGGGTTTAGGGGTTTGGGGTGTAGGGGTTTAGAGTTTTGGAGTTTGGGGTTTGGGGTTTAGGGTTTGGGGGTTTAGGATTTGGGTTTAGGGTTTTGGGGGTGTGATATAGGTTCCTGCATAAAATCGAACACGGATTCTGTGGATTCCTGTTGTATTGATTCTTATCCCAATTTATGTTTCTTCAAGAGTTCGCGATGGTTAACCTAGGACCTAGGCCCCCGAAAGTAGATAGAATAATGGCATGAAAGGCCATTATTCTACATACTTCTGGTGTCCAGGTAAGCGGATCTTTAGCTACTCTGAAAGTTTCGCCCATGGTTCTTTCGGTGAGTGAGGATATTTCGCAGTGCCCGGTTTTGCTCCGCGCGGCCGCTGCCACTAAGTGCCCTACGCTATGCGAGTTGTAGCATATTCCATATTTGCATTGGTGCTTGTCGAGCGAGTAACCTCTAGCTTCGTTCGGCGCGTTTTATGTAATCCTGCCCAAAAAAACTGAGAGGCTTACCTTCGTTGGGCCAGGAAGGCAGCGGTTAGGCACTGTAGCAAGGCACCAGTATGACATCTGAGCTTAAGGCCCGAAACCCGCAGATCACCATGTCACCAGAACCCGAAACACATTAAGATACAAAGGGCTTCTACAATGAGCCGTTAAATAAGTGCCCAAGAACCATCTGAACAGATGGCGTATTCAGGTCCCTTCTTGCCATAACTTCTGGGAAAGCCCGGTGCGTCCTGCATCCTTTGTTCGCAGACTGGCACATGATC